CAGATTTAAAAAACTATAGGCCAATATCAAACTTACCATTGCTATCCAAAATCTTGGAAACCCTGCACAGGGACTATATTCTTTTATAAAGCCAAAACATACCCATCCCCCGCCCAATTTGGATTCAGGAAAAAAAAAAGCACAACATGCAAATTTTAAAAATGTTTCTGCTTTACACAGCATGGAAAATAAGGAATATCCACAGGAATTTTTTTTTGACCCAAAAAAAGCTTTTGCACAGAGACCACGGGATCCTACTCCACAAAATTTACCATTATGGTAAAGAGGCCGCGCTTGATATTTTAAATCTTACCTTAAAATGGTATCAGTATGTCACCATAAGGAACAGTCAACCCGCCATTTATACTGGAGTTCTGCAGGGAAGGTTCCCTTGGGCCCCCCCTCTTCCCATATACATCAATGATCTTCCAAACGATTTCCCACACCGAACCCCCTTTCCTTTTTTTTGGGCAACAGACTATGTAATCTCTCACCCTAATTTGCAACCCACCACCATTGTTTGAGGGGCTGATCAAAAAATCGACTTTGGGTGACAGCCTAAACTTACACTTAACTTTACAAAACCTATTTTCATTATGTTTGGTAGCAGGCGGGAGCGCAAATTAAAATTAAATCGCAACAACCCAATTTTCCCGGCATAAGAGGGGAAATTCCTAGGCCCCATACCCCGACAACAAACCGAAATTCAGCACCCATATCCCAAAACATAACCAAAAAAGTATCCAAAAAGGTTGGGTCCCCCCCCAACAACAATACTACGGCCCCAAACTGCCCTTCTCACACATACCATTCACTTTACGTTATCCATACCTCACCTATCTATCTGTCTTGGGGGTTCAAATGCGCAAACCCCAAAACCCAAAGCAATAAAACCCCAAAAAAAAGCCCCAGAAGAATAAACACAAAAACCCATCCCTGAAACAACCCCCCCACTCTTATAGACTAAAATTTTCCCCGTTTTAGTACATCCACATTACTACTGTCAAATTTCATCTACAGGACCTTAAATTCCAATATTAACCTTGACCTAAAATGTTTCTTGATAGTTGGGGAGAACCCACAGGCACAACACCCGACACAAAAATCCATGACATTCCCCTGTCCCACTAAACCTTTTCCAAAAAATTTAAGTATGCAAAGGCCCAAAAATCGGAAAACCCTACCCGAAAATTCCAAAATGCAGCAATTCATCACCTTTAAAACTACCATCAAAAACCCTTATTCCCCCGAAACACCCTGCAATAAAAACGAATACCCCCGGGGTTCACACTTTAACACCCCACCCCCTTTGACCTAAACGAAAATCAATCCAATTTAAAATAATAATCTTAACTATTTATAAGTTGGCCCGTGATACTCCAATACTGAAAATACGTATAGTGCCAAAACAAAAGCATTCACATGCTAACCCCACAACTTTTTTGTCATTAGCCATAAAACCAAAATTATCTCATAAATTTTTGACCCTTTAAAGTTAAAATTTAAAATAAGTTGCCGAAATGCCTAGCCATGCTAGGGGTTCTGTGGGCCCCCTGTAATTGTTTTTAAACTGTAAACCCCCAATAACCAAATTTTGTAAACTCAGCATTTTTAATACTTATAGAGAATAAATTTGAATTTGAATTTTTTAAAATTTGAATGTTGGGAGAAGAGCATGAATGTCCCAAATAAACATTTAATTAACAACAATTTTTTTGCTAAACTATTTAGGGAAAATTTCTGGGTCGCACCTTGACAGCATTTTAAATTCAACCCCCCTATCCAACACAGCAAAAAGTACCAAAACAATAGAACCTCTCAAAATACGTTATTATGTACCCCAAGAGCATTCTATTATAATTCACCAAACTTTTTCCCACTTTTCCCCATGGGTTTTTGCCTGGGTTTCCACACCCGCAAACGCCTAAAACCAATGATAACAAAAAACTGCATGTGAATGACACACAGTCCCCGCTAGACAAAAACTCACTCTTTACTTTGAAAGACCTAACCTACCCACTGACAAAACATTCACTCTTACTACTGTGCAACCTACATTTACAGAACAATAAATTGTAATATAAATCCCGACCTGAAGCACTTTCTTGATAGTTGCGGGACACGTAAACGTAACTAGGCACAAAAATCTCTGTGACATACTCCGTGCCCAGCTAAATCTCTCTAAAAATTCATTGTACATAAAAATGTCCCAAAATCCGGAACTCTCTGCCAGTAATCTCCAGAGCCATTGTCTCAACCAACATCTTCAAAACTACCATTAAAAAGCACCACCTCTTCCTAATATATCCCAACCTCATCTAAATATGTGATAACTACATATCCGTATTGTTACTGTCACTAAAATATGTATACAGTGGACCCCCGCATAACGATTACCTCCGAATGCGACCAATTATGTAAGTGTATTTATGTAAGTGCGTTTGTACATGTATGTTTGGGGGTCTGAAATGGACTAATCTACTTCACAATATTTCTTATGGGAACAAATTCGGTCAGTACTGGCACCTGAACATACTTCTGGAGTGAAAAAATATCGTTAACCGGGGGTCCACTGTATATACATTATAATCTTTTTCTTAACCTTTGAGGGTCGGTCACGTACCTGTACATCTTAACAGCCAGGGTTGGTCACGTACTTATTTGTGTAAATTCTAGCGCCTTCAAATCTGGTGGAAGAAAGCCGGTAGGCCTACATATGAAAGAATGGATCTGCATGGTCAGTGTGCACAGTATAAAAAAAAATCCTGAAGCATGCAGTGCATGAGAAAAAAAAAACTCTGTGTTTTTGGTTTAAAACAGCGACTTTGCAGTGTATTTACGTATGGTATTTATGGTTGTATTCTCGTTTTCTTGGTCTCATTTGATAGAATGGAAGATATATTACAGAAATAGAGATGATTTTGATTGGTTTCATGATGAAAAGTACCTCAAAATTGAGCTCAAAATAGTGGAAATGTTCGATTTTTGCCAATGTTCAAAAGTAAACAAATCACTCCATGTGCCCAATACACATCAACTGGTGAGTCTGATATTCTTTCACAAGTGTGCTGATATTATTTATACCATTTTTACAATAATACAGTAGTCTGCATAACAGTAAGTCTTCTATTTTTTGTGAGAATAAAAATTCAAAATGGAAATCAAGCATAATATAAGAGGAGCTGAAGATGTGACTAATGAACAGAAAATTTTTTATTTTAGTGCCAGGAATGTCTGTCATGTTTATTCTGGACCCTATTTTGAAATTGGAATCTTTTGAAATTTGTGTGAAATTGGCCAAATTGTCAATTTCTGACCACTTTATTGAGTAGTTGAAATTGGTAAACAGGCAGTTTCTTGTACTCAATCGATAGAACAAATGGAGTTCTGGCAAAAGAGCTATGATTTTAGTCAACCTCTAACTTTGCGAGAGCATAATTCCATAAGTTTTACATTAACTTTCATACTTTTGGTGTCAATGACGATTGGGAAAAGATTCTCTATCATTTCAAAAATTTTTTTTTTTTTTTACCCTGAGAATGATTTCAGGATCAGGGGTCTCGACCCTCAAAGGGTTAATACAGTGGACCCCCGCTTTACAATCAGCTCCCAATGCGACCAATTATGTAAGTGTATTTATGTAAGTGCATTTGTACATGTATGTTTGGGGGTCTGAAATGGACTAATCTACTTCAAAATATTCCTTATGGGAACAAATTCGCTCAGTACTGGCACCTGAACATACTTCTGGAATGAAATAATATCGTAAACCGGGGGTTCACTGTATATGTAATCTTCTCAACCTTTAAAACATTCATTTCCTTAATCCTTAACACACAATACCATCTACAACAATTCACAGCTGATACACAATTCTATAATGTATGATTTTTAAATTCAATTTGCAAATTGTGTGTTAGTTGTGGATTGTTGTAATCATGGTATTGTGTGTTGGTTGTGGATTGTTGTAGTCATAAGATAAGATAAGATTTCGTTCGGATTTTTAACCCTGGAGGGTTAGCCACCCAGGATAACCCAAGAAAGTCAGTGTATCATCCAGGACTGTCTAACTTATTTCCATTGGGGTCCTTAATCTTGTCCCCCGGGATGCGACCCACACCAGTCGACTAGCACCCAGGTACCTATTTGCTGCTAGGTGAACAGGACAACAGGTGTAAGGAAACGTGTCGAAATGTTTCCACCCTCCGGGAATCGAACCCGGGCCCTCCATGTGTGAAGCGGGAGCTTTAGCCACCGGGCCTGGTGGCCTGGTGGACGATGTACAGTACAGTCATGGTATTGTGTGTTAGTTGTGGATTGTTGTTGTCATGGTATTGTGTGTTAATTGTGAATTGTTGTAGTCATGATATTGTGTGTTAGTTGTGAATTGTTGTAGTCATGATATTGTGTGTTAGTTGTGAATTGTTGTAGTCATGGTATTATGTATTGTGGATTGTTGTAGTCATGGTACTGTATGTTAGTTGTGGATTGTTGTAGGCATGGTATTGTGGGTTAGTTGTGACATGTTCCATTCATGGTATTGTGTGTTAGTTGTGGATTGTTGTAGTCATGGTATTGTGTGTTGGCTGTGGATTGTTGTAGTCATGGTATTGTGGGTTAGTTGTGACTTGTTCCACCCATGGTATTGTGGGTTAGTTATGACGTGTTCCACTCATGGTATTGTGGGTTAGTTGTGACTTGTTCCACTCATGGTATTGTGGGTTAGTTGTGACTTGTTCCACCCATGGTATTGTGGGTTGGGACTTGTTCCACTCATGGTATTGTGGTTTAGTTGTGACGTGTCCCACTCATGGTATTGTGGGTTAATTGTGACTTGTTCCACCCATGATATTGTGGGTTCGTTGTGATGTGTTCCACTCATGGTATTGTGGTTTAGTTGTGACATGTTCCACTTATGGTATTGTGGGTTGTGACACGTTCCACTCGTGGTACCTTCATGTATCATTCGTGCATAATTGACTGGTATTCTATTGTTTCAGGAAACTTCAGCAAGGAGGTGATCTCAGAGCGCTGTAAGGGGCTGGCACGGTTCATGAACTTTGTTCAGGACCAGGGCATCCTCAGTCGTACTGCTGTGTTCTCCAAATTCCTGTATGACCCGGAGGTAATGACCAGTAACAACCTCCTCCTCCACTCCCAGTTCGAAGAAGCCTGCCCTGTTCTGGAGAACACTTACATTCTTCTGAACAGCCTACGCTGGGATGCCGGGCTGACGTTACGAACCCTGTGTCAACTGATCGTCAGCCTACATGCTGTGGGTAACTACCGAAGTCGTTCGCTCTCGCTCGAGTCGCTTTGCAGAAGTTTGAGTCGCCCAGCACCAAGAAGATCGGAAGGGAACTGTACCTTCCGCTGCTAGTGTTCTGTGACGGGCTCTGGCGAAGGCTTGGGAAGGATCGAACTTACATAAAGAACAAAATTGAACTTATGCATAAGCATAGAAGACAGGACGAGGTTGTATCAAACTTACTGGATGTTGTCAGGGATGAAATTGCTCTTCGAACACTACATTGAGTATAGATCTTGTTTACATTAAGTTCTTTTATTAAGCTCATCTATATACCTGGAGTATATATGGAATATACCTGGAGAAGGTTTCAGTTCTCTTGTAAACCTCCACTATGTACAGTCACTTACAAAGCTCCACTATATACAGTCAGTTCTCTCATAAAGCTTCACTATATACAGTCAGTTCTCTTATAAAGCTCCACTATATACATACATTCATTTCTCTTATAAAGCCCAACTATATACAGTCAGTTCTCTCATAAAGCTCCACAATATACAGTCAGTTCTCTTATAAAGCTCCTCTATATACAGTCAGTTCTATTAAAAAGCTCCACTATATAGAGGGACTTTCTTGCGAGTGCAGTTGAACAAGTTGATGCAGGATTGGCTAGCAGTACCGTGAAGGCTGTTCAATTGTTAATGAACCTTATAAGTTGTGTTTAGTAGACTCACACTTTATGGAAGAACTTTATAAAGTCTGACTCTATACAGATAAGCTTTATAAGCACTAACGATGCAGTCATAAAAATGCTAGATCTGCTTTACACAGCATTGGAAAATAAGGAATATCCACTAGGAATTTTTATTGACCTAAGAAAAGCTTTTGACACAGTAGACCACGACATCCTACTCCACAAACTTGACCATTATGGTATAAGAGGCCATGCGCTTGCATATTTCAAATCTTACCTTACTAATAGGTATCAGTATGTTACCATTAAAGACACAGCATCAACAACACAGCCACTTGATACTGGAGTTCCGCAGGGAAGTGTCCTTGGTCCCCTGCTCTTCCTCATATACATCAATGATCTTCCAAACGTATCTCAACACCTGAAGCCCATTCTCTTTGCTGATGACATGACTTATGTCATCTCTCACCCTAATCTTGCCACCCTCAACACCATTGTTAATGAGGAGCTGATCAAAATATCGACTTGGATGACAGCCAATAAACTTAAGCTTAACACTGACAAAACCTACTATATTATGTTTGGTAGCAGAGCAGAAGATGCGCAAATTAACATTAAGATCGACAACACTAATTGCCAGGCATAATGAGGGCAAATTCCTAGGCCTATACTGCGACAACAACCTGAACTTCAGCACCCATATCCAACACATAACCAAAAAAGTATCCAAAATGGTTGGGATCCTCTCCAAGATATGATACTACGTGCCGCAAACTGCCCTTCTCACACTATACCATTCACTTATATATCCATACCTCACCTATGCTATATGTGCTTGGGGTTCAACTGCAGCAACACACCTAAAGTCAATAATAACCCAACAAAAAGCCGCAGTAAGAATAATCACTAAATCCCATCCCTGGCAACACACCCCCCCACTCTTCATAGATCTAAACTTACTCCCTGTTTAGTACATCCCCCACTTACTACTGTGCAATCTACATCTACAGGACCTTAAATTTTCCCAAAATTAACCTTGACCTAAAACGCTTTCTTGATAGTTGCGACAGAACCCACAGGCACAATACCAGACACAAACATCTCTATGACATTCCCCGTGTCCGACTAAACCTTTACAAAAATTCAATGTATGTCAAAGGCCCTAAAATCTGGAACACCCTACCTGAAAATTCTAAAACTGCAGACACATTCATCACCTTCAAAACTACCATCAGAAAACATCTTATCTCCCTGATACACCCTGTCAACTAATTACACGAATACCACCTGGTGGTTAACACTTACACTCACTCACCCAACTCAAGAAATCGTAATGACACGATTGCAAATAAACCATACCCCCGGCCGGGATTGAACCCGCGGTCATAGAGTCTCAAAACTCCAGCCCGTCGCGTTAGCCACTAGACCAGCTAGCCACAATAAGATTCATCCAACTAGGTATATTTCTACACCATAGGAAAGTTAGCACAGGCACCTCTGTGACCACAAATGCAAGTTTTTACAGACGAATCGGTCATTACGATTTCTTGAGTCATGTTGACGGCAGTGAAGGACTTGAGCTAGAGTTCGTCACGGCCACGCTAGCTGAGATTCGTCTGAAAAACTTGCATTTGTGGTCACGAGGTGCCCGTGCTAATTTCCTATGGTGTAGAAATATACCTAGTTGATGAATCTTATTGTGGCTAACTGGTCTAGTGGCTAACACGACAGGCTGGAGTTTTGAGACTCTATGACCGCGGGTTCAATCCCGCCGGGGGTATGGGTTTTTTTGCAATCGTGTCATTACGAATTTCTTGAGTCATGTTGACGGCAGTGAAGGGACTTGAGCTAGAGTTCGTCACGGCCACACTAGCTGGAGATTCGTCTGTAAAAAACTTGCATTGTGGTCACAGAGGTGCCTGTGCTAACTTTCCTATGGTGTAGAAATATACTAGTTGGATGAAAACTTATTGTGGCCCAGCTGGTCTAGTGGCTAACGCAACGGGCTGGAGTTTTGAGACTCTATGACCGCGGTTCAATCCCGGCCGGGGATAGTTTATTTGCAATCGTGTCATTACGATTTCTTGAGTCATGTTGACGGCAGTGAAGGGACTTGAGCTAGAGTTCGTCACGGCCACACTAGCTGGAGATTCGTCTGTAAAAACTTGCATTTGTGGTCACAGAGGTGCCTGTGCTAACTTTCCTATGGTGTAGAAATATAACTAGTTGGATGAATCTTATTGTGGCTAGCTGGTCCAGTGGCTAACGCGACGGGCTGGAGTTTTGAGACTCTATGACCGCGGGTTCAATCCCGGCCGGGGGTATGGTTTACTCACTCACCCATTTGACCATAAACAGAAATATCAATCTCAATCTCAAAATAATGAATCTTAACTAGTCATAAGTTGGCCTGTGATACTCCAATACTGAAATTATATATAGTGCCAAAACAAAAGCATTCACATTGCTAAACTCACAAACTAGTATTTAGTCACTTAGCCATAATACCAACTTACCTCATAATTTCGTAATATTTTAAACTTAAGATTTAATTTAAGTCTGCCCAAAATGCCTAGCCATGCTAGGTGTTCTAGTGGTACACTCTGTAATTATTATTTTACTACATGTAAACCACACAATAACCAAATTCTGTAAACTCAGCATTGTAATCCTTATAGAGAATAAACTTTGAATTTGAATTTGAATTTCAACTGTATACAGTGGAGCATTATAGAGAAGTGACTGCAGTAGACCGTTATTTTACACGGATTTATTTGCCACATTTTGGTTATTGCACTATTCAAAAATAATGGCACAGTTTTATACAACACATCGTAAAATTAACACGGTTCTGTTTGCGGGCATGGAAAAAATTTCCCCAGCTCAAGTTGCCGCCTTATGGGTGAGACCATTGTGTCAGCGTGGGAGACCTACCGCCATCCCATGCTGCCCCCAACACTCCCGCTACCCCCATCCCAGCGTTTGTCCATATGTGTCCAGTACAGTTGCCTCCTAGGAGCTAGCTGTGTTTGTGAATTGTGTTTTGATCTTTTAATTATCATATCTTGTATCTGCCAAGCAATCATGGCACCCAGTAGGCATACAAGTGTTGCTGAAAGTGGCAAGAGAAGGTATAAGGGTTTAAGTCTTAGAGTTAACAAAGAAAATAGAGATATTAGACAAGAGATAACCTGTGGCCTTAACCCTTTGACTGTTTTGGTCGTATATATAAACGTCTTATGAGCCACCGTTTTTGACATACTGTATATATTTTTTTTTTTCAACAAACTGGCCGTATCCCACCGAGGCAGGGTGGCCCAAAAAGAAAAACAAAAGTTTCTCTTTTTAAATTTAGTGATATATACAGGAGAAGGGGTTACTAGCCCCTTGCTCCTGGCATTTTAGTTGCCTCTGACAACACGCATGGCTTACGGAGGAAGAATTCTATTCCACTTCCCCATGGAGGTAAGAGGAAATAAGAGCAAGAACTAGCAAGAAAATAGAAGAAAACCCAGAGGGGTGTGTATATATATGCTTGTACATGTATGTGTAGTGTGACCTAAGTGTAAGTAGAAGTAGCAAGACGTACCTGAAATCTTGCATGTGTATGGGACAAAAAAAAAAAAGACACCAGCAATCCTACCATCATGTAAAATAATTACAGGCTTCAGTTTTACGCTCACTTGGCAGGACGGTAGTACCTCCCTGGGCGGTTGCTGTCTACCAACCTACTACCTAGGTTTTGATATACAGTGGACCCTCGACCAGCGATGGCATCAATTAACGATAAATCTGACTAGCGATACATTTTATCGCAAAAATTTTGCCTCGATTAGCTCTAAAAAACTCGACCAACACTATTCGTTCCGTCTGAGACGCGTCCACTTCTGGCCAGTGTTTACAAGCCAGTCAGCCACCGCGGTCGCTTCCAAGCATACAATCGGAACATTTCATATTATCACAGCCTTTTTAGTGATTGCACCTGCAAAATAAGTCACCATGGGCCCCAAGAAAGCTTCTAGTGCCAACCCTACCGCAAAAATGGGTGAGGAATTAACTATGAGAATAATGAAGAAAGGAGATCGGTATGCTAAGTAGAAAGTGTAGTGCGTGTCATCCGAGCTGGCCGGGCTGTACACAAAACCCCTATCGAACCATCGCTACATTGTGGCCAGAAAACGGCAATCAAGGAAGCTGTTCTGCCAAAGGTTGCAACTATGTTTTCGAAACTGAGATCGCAAGTGATAGAAGATGTTGAGAGACTGTTATTGGTATGGATAAACGACAAAACAATAGTCAGAGATAGCTATTCTCAAGCGATCAAGTGAAAGGCTAGGAAGTTGCATGACGATTTAATTAGAAAAATGCCAGCAAACTGTGGTGATGTGAGTGAATTTAAGGCCAGCAAAGGTTGGTTTGAGAGATTTAAGAATCGTAGTGGCATACAAGTGGCATTGAAAGAAGAAGGGAAGTAACCCCGAAAAAGGACTTGCCACCTCAAGTCCTAATGGAAGGGGATTCCCCTTCTAAACACTAAGACCATCAACACACTCCCCTCTTCCCATCCCATAAATCATCACCAGATCTTCAATAAAGGTAAGTGTCATGTAACTGTGCATGTCTTCTTCAGTTTGTGTGTATTAAAATTAATATTTCATGTGTTAAAAAATTTTTTTTCAATACTTTTGGGTGTCTTGCACGGATTAATTTGATTTCCATTATTTCTTATGGGGAAAATTAACTTGACTAACAATTATTTTGACTAACGATGAGCTCTCAGTAGCGGATTAATAGCGTTAGTCGAGGGTCCACTGTATATATACTCATAAATTCTAGAGGCTTCAAATCAAGCAGGAGAAAGGTGGTAGGCCCACATGTGAGAGAATGGGTCTGTGTGGTCAATGTGCACCATATAAAAAAATCTTGCAGCACGCAGTGCATAATGAGAAGAAAAAACTCCTACCGTTTTTTTTTTAATTAAAATACCGACTTTGTGGTCTATTTTCGTATAGTATTTATGGTTGTATTCTCGTTTTCTTGGTCTCATTTGATAGAATGGAAAACATATTATAGAAATAGAGGTGATTTTGATTGGTTTTACTATGAAAAGAACCTAGAAATGGAGCTCAAATTAGGAGAAATGTTTGATTTTTGCTGATGTTCAGAAGTAAACAAATAATGTCATTGTCCAATAAATATCCAACTAGCCATTCTAATATGCAGTAATGAATGGGTTGATGTTATTTATACAATTATTACAGTATTGCAGTAGTCTGCATAACAGTAAATCTTCGATTTTTTGTTTGAATAAAAATTCAAAATAGAAAGCAAGAGTAATATCAGAGGTGCCTGGAGACATGACTGATGAACAAAGAAAATGTTATTTTAGAGCCAGGAATGTCTGCATTGTTCATTCTGGACCCTATTTTGAAATTGTCATATTTTTTAATTTTCATGAAATTGGCCAAATTGCAAATTTCTGACCACGTTATTGGGTAGTTTAAATTAGTAAATGGGCGGTTTCTTGTACTCAATTGATAGAAAAAATGGAGTTCTAAAGAAATAGCTATGAGTTTGGTCGACTGGAACAATGGAATTAGCCGAAAATAGGGCTCAAAGTGGGCAAACTCGCTGATTCGTGAATATCACCGAGGTCG